TGTACGCATTTTGTTTACATCCACCGTTTTTACATCTTTCTCCATTCCAAATTTTCATTGTAGGAATAATTAATCAAACACTAAACGGTACGATGGTATGTCTTGCCTAAATTAGATATTTTTGTCAAGTAAGAAGGCTCCTACTAAAATAAAAACTTGTTTTACCCTACAAATATAACAAAGCAAACTCAAAGTTTCAGAAATATGTTGATCAAATGCTTTTCCTCGTAAACAAACGCATCATGTGTACGTATTCTTAGTTCATTTAAGCGTTTCTTAACTATGAAATTGCGGTTAGGTTATTAATTATATGAAATTTTCAAACAATATTTTAAGCCTTCATCTGAATTTTACACTCACAGATGTGTAGTTTTGATTCCTCACAACCTAAGATTAATCAAAAATCAACCATAGGCCTACTTAATCAAGATATAAAAATTGTGATCAATGGAATAGAATTATTGTATTTATATGTTGCGTACGTTGGTATTGTACAAGTAAATTGCTCGTTTGTGTTATAAAACTGTGAAAATAAGTTTCTCTATGGATTCAATTCTGTGCGTTAATCTATGCTATATTACTTTTTGTCTTTTTCACTGTTGCCCTCCCTCCATCCCCACCACTTCCACAAATGGGGTTCCACCTAGAATGATCAAGTCAGGATTTAGGGTTTAGTAAACCTTATATATTCCTTATTTGAAATATTTTGTTTAAAGAACGCACATAGGTGGAGACCCCATCCAATGATATATTGATAGACTCGCCTTAGGCTCGCTGGGAGCTCCGCCCCCAGGCCCCCTTTTTTGTTTGGGGGTTGTGGGAATGTTCCTCGGGGGACAGGATTTTGTTTGCGAAAATTTTCTGCGTTTAAAACTTAAAACTTTGCAGTTGCTAGGTATTTCAGAAAGAGTACATTTTTTCCGGGGTGGTTTGGTACCCAGACGAAAATTTACAAAAAATGTCAGCTTCCTAGCTACTCTCGAAGTGACAAAAAAGCTTTTTCTGTCACCAAACGCCCATATTTCACCTACTGACGTTTACGTCTAGTTTGCCAATAAGGAATACGTTAAAAAACGAACTTTTGTTATAAAAAATCTGCAATTTTTAATTTTTTGTAGTAGGTAAAAATTATAGAAGGTCACTTAAGGCACTTTCCTTTCAATGTTGGAAGCATAAAAAGTACAAATATACGTACAAAAAGTAGTTTAAAAAATTAAAAACACGTTAAAAAAATCTAAAATTTTCACAATTTTTGGAAGTAGGGCGTTTTTTGAAGGTGAAGGAGGGCGACTTTCGAAAAACCCATAATAGTGTCTTGTAGAAAATTTCATTCCGAACCTACGATTTTTCCTCAAATCGATTCTAGCTCTTACGGTTTTCGAGCCACAGCGGTTTTAAGAAAACGTGTTTTCCCAAAACCGAAATTTTTATGGAATTTTTTTGGGGGGTTGAATTTTGAAAGTGGGGTTTTTCCGAATTTCACCGGTAACGTAAGATCCCATAGTACAATACTACGCAAATTCCAAATCTCTAGCACGTTTCTAAACGGTTCAGATGAGCGTACGAAAGTCGGTATTTTTCAATGTTATTTCCCGTAAGAATAACATCGGGGGGGAAATTGTCAATTTAGGGGGGGTTGAAAGGGAAAAATGCTACTTTTCGGAATTTTCCCGGGGGTTTGGGCACTAGACCTATAAAACACCGAAAATTTCAAGTCTCTAGCTCGTCTAGAAGTGCCCAAACATTAGTATACCCCAGGCCCCCTTTTTGGTTTGGGGGTAAATAGAAATGGGCCATGGCGCAAAACCTGCAAATGAGCCAAATTTCAGATCTTTAGCTAATCTAGAAGTGGGTAAAATTGATTTAGACCGATGCACCTGTAGGAATATCATTGGGGGGGGGGGTTCTATATTTAGTGGGGGGGGGAATTATATTGGTAAAGTTTCACTTTTTGGAAAGGGCGCAAGATCTACAATCATGCAAAATTTCAGATATCCAGTCAATCTAGAAATGGGTAAACTTGATTTAGAATTATGCACCTGTAAGAATAACATTGGGGGGGATTTAATATTTGGGGGGGGGGTTGTAAATACGATAGGGGGATGAAACCTTAAGTAAACCAGAGTAAATCTATAGCATGAATGGACCATGGGAACGGGGATTTATGGTGGTTTTTATGGGGTAAATGTTATTCTCCATAAAAATAACATGGGGCTCGTAAAAACTTTCAAATTTTGACATTAAACCTAAGTTTTGGGGTTCAAGGAGTAAAGTTACGAAAAAACACGTAGTGTGTAAAATTTAAAATAAAGTAAGGAGAATACAGAACAATATCAATTTTTGCAAAAAAAATTATTTAAGTATGAAAAAATGGCGAAAACCGGTAAAAAATTAAAGAAATTTACAAAATTTTGAGAGTAGGGCGTTTTTTGAAGGTTAATGAGTGCGATTTTCGGAAAACGCCTGAAGGGGTTTGTAGGAAATTTGATTCCCGTTCATGAAAATCCTTTCAAATCTTTTCTATCTCTTACCGTTTTCGAGCTATAGGCGATTGAAAAAAATGTCGTTTTTAGAGGTCCGCCATTTTGGATTTTTAGTGTGATTAAAAATTGAAAATGGGACTTTTGCTAAATTCACCATAAACTTATGATCCCTTACTACAATAGTACCAAATTCCAAGTCTCTAGCACGTTTCTAAACGATTCATATGACCATACCAAAGTCATTATATTTCAATCTTATTCTCCATAAGAATAACATGGGGCTCGTAAAAGTGGCAAAAAATCTTCAAATTTTCAGATAAAATTAAGTTTTGGAGGTCAAGGAGTAAAGTTACGGAAAAAACATAAAATGAGTAAAATTTAAAGTAAAGTAAGGAGAACACAGAGCAATAATAATTATATAATCTATATTATTTTGTGTTTTTTATGTTCAGGACCAGACCACACTTTATCCCAGGGACATCCCATAGTAGTCCCATATGTCCTGAGAATGTCCTGAGGACTACCCTGGGATGACCTCGGATGTCCCACCGCGGATATGCTGTGAGCTTGAGCTTATCCGTAGGACATCCCCGAGCGGGGACATTACGCATTCCTGCGGATATCCTGGGATATCCCAGGTTGACCATAGGACTACTATGGGATATCTTGCATATCCTGTCACAATATCCGTGGGATGTCCTGAGGAGAAAGTGTGCTGTCTGGGATCTAGAGCCTCTGGGGCGGAACCCGAAAGGATTTTTGAGATAAGAATATGTCTATGTGCTAATCGGAAATGTGAGCTATCATCATACCACATTTAAACCCAATCCAACCAGTTGTAAATGCATGATTGAACTTCAAACAAAAACACACTAACTTTCGAACATTTAATATTAGTATGATATTTTAAAAATATTTATCTGCCCCGGGACTTTGAAAGCGTAAAGTATGGTCGAAAATTGTCTAAGTTAATGTTTTAAGTTTATGGCATTTTCTTGTGTATTAAAAAAAGAAACGGGAAAGGTTACAACTAATTTACTTTTTTTAACAACTGAGGATAATGCATTATTAGTTGAGATAGTTAGTTTATTAGGCAATGATTTGCAACAAGGGATTTGAGGGCTTTTAGATGAATTTATATGAATATTCTGCTTTCACTAAAGTGATCAAAAAATTATTAACTTACAATTTTCGACAAACAATATTGCTACCTTTAGCAGAGTTAACCCTCTGGACTAGAACAATTTATTTCTTGAAAATAACATCGACCAAAGCAAACAAAGAGACAGTTTTTTTTTTACCAAAATATATAGTTTACAGGGATGACTATCATGACAAATAGAAACTTTGATTCTGTACAAGTGCATCGGTCTAAATTACGTTTGCCCATTTCTAGATTAGCTGGAGATCTGGAATTTGGGACGATTTTAGGTCTTGTACCCTTTTCAAAAACTTACATTTGAAAATAATAACCCCCCCCCCACGAAATATTGAATTCCCTCCATGTTATCATTACAGGTGCATCGGCCCAAATCACGTTTGCCCACTTCTAGATTAGCTGAAAATATGAAATTTGGCACGATTGTAGGTCTTGCACCTTTTCGAAAAGTGACATTTTACAATAGAATAACCCTACCCGAAATATCAAATCCCCACCCAATAACATTCTTATGGAGAATACAAATTTGAGAAAGACTTGAGAAATGCAAGGAAATGCTAGAAAATTTAGCACGCTTCTTGGGGTTGGCAATTTACCCCCCCTCCTAAATTTCTAAATAAGGACTAACAGATAGAGGGCCTGGAGGTGGAGCCCCCAGCGAACACAAGGCGAGTAAAAGGTATACTCTCACATAACAATATAAAAATAATGTGTTCTCACATAGGGGGCTTTTCCCTAGCTACCCCTTATGTACCATGCGGTTTTACTCTGAAGGCGAACCAAAATTACACTTGATTTTTGGGGGGGCTCCTTAAAGTTACCCTAAATGAATCCCAAATTTTTAGCCTTAAAAGTGGCCGTACTACTTCCCCTCTGACTTTAATCTCAGAATTCTAAGTTTTTTCTCAGAGATGAAGACAAATATTTTTTTATAGTTGCAGTTGGTGGTTGGTGGCCCTTCAGTCAGCGCCGTTGTGTAGGTCTCTTCCACTGAGCTATAATTCTAACTGGAGGTAGCACTGAATGTCAAAGATGCGTGTCGCCAGCCGCCATGTTTGCGTGAGGTGTGAGATATAAAAAGCCATGTTATTGGATAAGAAAACTCACTGCTATACCAACCTAGTTATAGAAGCCATGTTATTGCTATGATAAGAAAACTCGCTGCTATACCAACCTAACAAAATCAGCGACACGCTTTTGACAGACTTCTGCCATGGCAGTGATACCTCCAATTATAATTTTAGCTCAGTGGTTTCTTCCACCTTTCATTCGGTTCGTTCAGTCGTCCAGTCCTTTCCTTTCTGTCTCGTGTCTTTGTCTTCTTCTTCCTTATTGTGTTGACTTGTTGATCCTTTGATCGGCAATGTGTGTTATGTTACTGTGATTTAGGATTTAGTTACAAAATTAAAATAATAATAAATGTTTAATGCGACTGATTCTGTGTTGGTTTAAAGATTTGTCGAATATACCTTCAGTAAACTTTTTACAGGGAAGTGTTTTTGACATTGTATAATAAGTATCTGTTTTCCTTGTTAGGTTAGATCGAAGTGATACGCCTAATTTGTTGGTAGGCCCTAGGCTAGGTACACAGAATGAAGTTGGCATTGATTCCACTCTTAACTTTTACTCTATATTTAGTTTCAAGTGTTGAAGCTCATAATGATTCGTTTCTAGAGAACCCAAAATATCTTAGTAATGAAGAAGTTAAAGTGCTCTTCAAACAGTTCAAATCCAAATACCCTACTCTGAGTGACTATTTTAGTATTGGGAAGTCAGTGCAAGGAAGGGACTTATGGGTTATAAGAATCACTAGTGATGTAGATCAAAAGTCTTCCCTCAAACCCATGTTCAAATACGTAGCAAACATGCATGGTGATGAATCGATTGGAAGAGAAGTCCTAATTTATTTAGCCCAATATTTATTAGAGAATTATAACTCTGACCCTAGAGTCAGAAGGTTACTCGATACTGTGGATATATATCTCCTTCCATCCCTCAATCCAGATGGATTTGCATCGTCTGTGGTAAGTGTTTGTATGGTCTTGAACAGAAAAATTGTAGCCTAGTAGGCTAACAGTTTTACGCTCATCACGTTCTCTGCGGCTGCATTAAGGCCTGTCGCTACCGACGGTAGCGCGGACAGCAGTAGGCCTATTTAGCCTATTGCGATTAACGTGACCGTAGGATCCTATATAAGTTACATTCATAGGCCTAGGTAGATTTCTAGATAACAGCCTTAGAAAATTTGTACCAGTAGCCTACTTTATAATTCTGTTAGGTTATGTAGAATTATTTCTAGATCACAACTGTAGGCCTACTGTTTTTTTCCGTTGCTCTTAAAGGAAAATGTGTTTTTTTTACTTTTTTGTAATAGATTAGGCCTATCATGTTTACATATTGCCCTGTTTGACAGATGGAACTGTTTACATTTGCGATGTTTGACAGATACTAGCCTATGCAGTGCACTCTGGTGGATATGGATTCAACCAATCTGAAAAGTCAAGGCTGGTTAAATTACTTCCTCATTTTTAGCTCAACATATTAAGTTTTCAATGTACCTGTAGGCTATTATTCTTCCGATATTAAAATGGTCGCACGATTGTGTGAGTTCATTAAACTGCGTAGAACAGTTTCCAACTGTAAGTAGCTGTTTCCAAGGGCAGCATTGCCTATGACTGATATGCCTAAACCTGTTAGCCTATTAGTATCCATTTCCTCCAATTCTCAGTGAACGTCAAAGCTTTTTATTTTGCAACGAACCTAGAACAAACTAATGCGCTCATTGGTGTAATAAATACACATTTTATATCCTTTAACAGTTAATTTTAATGTCAAATCAGTTCACGATAAGGAATGTTTTAGTATAAACACAAAGATTATCTTTAAGCGACCCTGCCCGGAAGTGTCTTCTACGAAGAGACCTTTCTCTATAAGCTGGCTGTGTCCAAACACAGGTTTCGGAAGATACACTCCAATTTTGACACACGTCATTGCGAATGCGAAGGAAACTGCGTCCGTTCCAATGTGAAAGGGAACACAGTGTCAGAAGGTCACAAGTTCTTTTAATCTAGGTAGTCTTTGAATCAGTACACAGAGTCCAGATGAAGCTCTCCAGCTAAATACTGCTACGATTACCGGTTATATTTGTCCGGCGACGCTGTGGTCTTAAAAAAGCAGAGAAGAGTAGGCCTACTAAAGAAGTGCCATTAAAAAAGCAGGAAATAGGCTAGTGAAAAAAATTAAAAAATCAAACTTAAGCCATGTAATCTCAAAAGATATGATCTCTGTTTTCATTACAAAAAAAAAAAAAAAAAACAAATACAAATAATACCAAAACTGTAACCAAAAGAAATAGTTTGAACCTATGTAAACAAAAAAGGTACCTAAACATTGGAACTTTAAAAGCCACTGGGGTAACAGCCCAGGGGACGTTTTCAACATGTAAGACCTTATATGACATCTACTCAATGAGATATTTCCTTAACTAACAAAATCGGTTGCGAAACCACACAGAGGAGTTCTGTTGACAAAAATTGTGCTTGGCTATTTTATATATAGATTTAAATCTTTTACAACAAATATTGACTTGCATATTACTAAAAGGCTCGTGTTAAAGTACTTCCCAGATAGGGGAGAATGACAACGAAACAACGGCTCAGTGCCCTGACTACGTTCTATGTTCGTCTTGCCCATTGTCCTTATCAAGAACGACGACATGTAAGTGATTGGGCCGCGAAATTCCTGCATGTAAGGTATTATTATATTATACGAATAATAAATGAAGATGATGTAGAACATAGTATTCTCAGTAATGTAGTAAAGTGTGACAAATGTGGTCAGGAATGTTTGTAAAATTGCGAATTTTGGACATCTGTCAATCAACAATAGCGTCACCTCACTCACATGAGAGAAGTGAAGTGAAGTGAAGCAAGTTGAGAAATTATAGGAAGATTTAAGTATAGCCTATCGTTGATATAATGATTTAGGCCTACTTTAGAAACACTTCTTAAGTGATTCATTAGGCTAGTTAATAATGTTTCCTTTTAAGAAAAATCGTCTCATTACGGGGATAATTTTTTTATGGGCTGACTGACCACTCCTTATTTAGGCATTTTAGGATGGGAGGTTGTTCTTTATGTTGATTCGGGGCTGTATTAAGTGTTTTTATTTATTTATTTATTTATTTATTTCCCAACGGTTTACACCAGTTTACAAGAATGTATACAATATTAAAAGATGGCAAAATACATGCAACAGTGAGTGGTAACAGCAAGAACATAATTAATGAACAAAAATTAACAAGTAACAAGTAACAAGTAATAGATACTATATAATAACAATCTTGAATAACAATAACAATAGCAATAACAAAAATAACAAAATAGACAAGGAAAGACGATAAGTTAACAATATAAATTAGAAGCAGTGAAGATAGTTTTGGATAATAGTACAATGTGGCAAAAAATTTGATTTTACAAAAAAAAAACATGACATGAGAGCGAGAGGTGATACTTGGCAGCAACAACAGGAACGATTAATTCGACTAGAGCTAAGGAAGGTGAGATTCTACAGTTAGTGACTAGAATTATTATCACATAAGCAGGGAGGCGACCTTTCTCCGGAACGAGGACAATGAGTCGTGGAAGAAGTCCAGGTGGATTGCGACATCACTCCCAGTACGTAGAAGTCTCGAAAGGCCGCTGTTAGCTGCATAGTAGGTGGGTTGGTAGCGTCTACGGAATATCGTTTTGGAACGGGTTCCTGTTGGTATATGCAAGTGGATGCCGCAGAGTAGATCCGGACAGTCCAGGAGCCCATTAACCAACTTGAAAAGTGTCAGTAGGTCCGAGTGTTGCCGCCTCACGTGAAGAGGGGTGAGGCCAAAAAGAGATTCGACCTCACTCACAGGAGTACGTAGGTAGTCAAACCCAAGCCTACATCCAAGAAGTCTGACGAAGCGGCGCTGGATGCTTTCCAACTGGTTAATGTGGTTCAGTTGATGAGGGGACCAAATTGTGGAACCATACTCAAGTATTGGACGAACAAGGGCTTTATATAAGGTCACGAGAGTAAGGGGAGAGTTGAAACCCTTTGTTGATCTTAGGATGAATCCAATCATGGAGTTTGCTCTTGCAGTGATGTGCGTAATGTGCTCCATTGGATTTAGAGATGGTGTCATAATAACTCCCAGATCTTTAACTTTGGAAACCCTCTTCAGAACTGATTCATTGAGTGTGTAGTCGTGTATTAAGAAGTCCGAACCCCGTTTGAATGAGATAACTACACATTTGTCGACATTCAACTGCATAGCGTTATTTTTGCACCAGTCTTCAATGTTGTTGAGAGAGTTTTGGAGATAAATTTTGTCACGGTCACTTGATATCCTACTAAAGACCTTCATGTCATCTGCAAACATGAGAAATTTTGAACCTATTACAAACTTGATGTCATTTATGAATAGGCTAAAGAGTAACGGGCCAAGGTGGGACCCTTGAGGAACACCAGACAATACTTTGAATGGGCGTGATGAACTGCCATCGCACTTAACAATAAGATGTCTTCCTTTTAGGTAACTATCGATCCATTTAAGCAGGGAGCCACAAACACCATAGCCATCAAGCTTAGCTATCAGAAGGCGATGATTGACCTTGTCAAATGCCTTTGACAGGTCAATATAAATGCAGTCTACTTGGCAGGAGTCAACGAAGGCACCCATGATAACATCTTGAAATTCAAGTAGGTTGGAGATGGTGGATCGGGAGCGAAGGAAGCCATGTTGCTCAGGAGAAATGCATTTACGCAAATTAAAGTAAAGAAAATCCAGTACTATGCTCTCGAAGACCTTCGCTATTGCAGACAAAATTACAATGGGTCTGTAGTTTTTGGTATCATTCCGATCGCCTGTCTTGAAAATGGGGACGACATATCCAATTTTAAGGCTGTCAGGAAATACTCCGGTACTCAGCAGAGCCTTGAAAAGTATAAACAAGTGGGGTGCAAGAATAGGTGCACAGTGTTTAAGTATAAGAGGAGGAATATTGTCTGGACCAGCTCCTTTGTTTGGATCGAGATTTTCAAGCTTACGCTGTACATCCATGTTTTGAAGTTAGGTTAGATTAGGAGGTAGGTTAAGTTAAGGTTATAATAATGAAACGAGTTGTTGATTTAAAAATGTTATCTCCACTGTTTTTGTACTATTAAAATTGTGCTTTAAACATGATAATATAATTTAAAAAATGCCTACATGCAAGTAACTTAGTAATAAATAAGACCAATCTTGCACAAAATAGCCTATCAGGTTTCTGAATCCTACCAATTCAAAATGGTGGCTATTTGACATTTTCTATCTGATAACAATAATAATTTGTAATATTAATAGCTGAATCTCTTACATAACAATCTAGGATGAAGGTGATTCCTCCAAGCAAAAAAAGTTTGAGAATCACTATAACCACGTTAAAACGTACTTGGTTGTATACAGCTAGGCTGTAAATCAAACAGCATGTTGTTTCCTCTGTTTAGTAGATGTCAAGTTAAGTGGTTGAAGTAAGTATTTTTGTTCCAAATAGGCCTACTTAGTCGTTGGGTTTGCAAACTCAACTCCTAGCTGTAGTGAACATAACTTAACTTAAAACGTCATACCGTACATCAAGATTGAGTATCCTATAGGGTGATCTATTGCTAAGAATAATGTGCATTCATCTTATTATGATTTCATTGGCTTCTCTTCTATCAGCTTGGCTGCCAACAAGCCTGTGCTTGTGTCTTCAAAAGCTCTCAACGCCCAATTGTAACACACTAAAAAAATACATCATGTATTAGTTTAAATTAAAGCCAATTTTTGATGATAGGCCTATACGAAAAATAAAAATGAAAGACTCCTACTCCGATGGCAGAGCATCGGTCAGGTTTTTACAACACCAATACTGTCATGGTCATGCCTATTGATTGTTTTTACTTAACTTAGTTTCAAAACCCCTTTTTATATCCATTACTCTAATACCTTTTCGCTTATTGTTATCCTATATTAGCAATCATCCTTTATCCTAAAAGTAGAAATCATATATTACTTTTGGTCAAATGAAACAGGACCAAGGAGAAAATGAGTGTCACCATTCCATATATATATATGTTTGATATGTTTCAGGAAGGCTTATGTGACTCGCTAGGTACATACAGAGGCAGGAATAATGCTAATGGTGTTGATCTGAACCGAGACTTTCCAGACCAGTTTGACACAAACTCAGATGATAACAATCGACAACCTGAAACTTTGGCGATGATGAAATGGATCATGAACAATACCTTTGTACTCTCTGGAAACTTGCATGGTGGTGCAGTTGTGGCCAGCTACCCCTTTGATGACACCAGGTATTGGACTGAATCCGCAATGCAATGAAGTAATAGTAACGATTACCCCAACCCCACAGAAAAAGTAATAATAGTAACAGTGGATTTGATTATGCGAAACAATTGGGGATAGTTGGTGTTCAAATAAGTGATTGTAAGAGTTTGGTTGCCTTATTAAACATTGTTTGCCCGGTCACATAGGCGCTATAGGCCTCGGGCCTAAGTGTAAATATCCAGCAAAGCAATGGTGAGACGATACACCCCTGACTCACAAACATGTATTATTGCTACTCATATTATTTACGTACTGGTTTGATTGGATGTATTTTAGATGTTGGAAATATAAATCAATGCTACATTTGTTCTAAAATTCTATTTGTTTCTAGATTCTTGTTCTCTGATGTTTTAAGGGTTAATCAAAGCTGGCTTATATTTCTTTCACTCTTTTCAGACTTACTCAAAACAATTCGACAAATGAAAGTAATGGGTAAATATTCATATTCAGATTCGTGCTTATATTGTGTGTTTGAAGTCGCTATTTTGTCTGCATAAAAAGCTTAGTTTTTACCATCGCTCAGTTCTCACTCCTCCAATGTTCTTATTTCTTGCAAAGTTATGTTGTAAATAGCCTAGTTTGTTAGTTATAAAAGTGTTAATTTAAATATTTTCGACTTCAGTTTTGAGCAGAGCTTATTTTTGCATTCTTTTAATTTGCTTTATGCTTTATCATTACATTTTTTTCTGCTGGCCAATGCTGCTAATAAAATTGGCACTTACACTAAATATACTAAGATTATTTATTAGAACAAATTTTGTTCTCAAGTAATTTTTTTCTTACTTACTGATATTATCTTAAAAAAATAAAGGAAGAAGTTTTGTCCTCCAAGAATTAGTTTTTGGAATTTTGTTACCCATGTTATTTTACCTATATAATAAAATACCCCTAATTGATTGAGCGAAGCGAGCAAAGCTCTTATACTACACTCCTGATTTTGTTTTACAAATACTCCTCCTGAACGGCTGAATCGATCTGCACGAAATTTAGAACAGTCATAATAACTAATTATAAGAAGGTATAAATCTGAAATGGTACAAATCGGACCACAGCGCTTATCCCTACGTGAATTCAAACATTTACAAATTTAACATGGGCCTTAAGGAGTTTATTGGTCGCCATGACATTATTTGTGACATAACATAAGAAGGTAAACAAGAGTCGCAACATATGTTAGTCAACAAATCATCTAAAATAGCACATTACAAATACTGTGCCTAGAGAAAAAAGGAAGAACAATCGGATTAATAGCATTGAGCATAATTTACTACAAAATAAATAACTAATAATTAGGTGATGGAATGGCCTCTAGATCGTCTGAATAAACTAATATAGGTTTAAATTACCTGTTTTCTGTCAAAACGATCAGTTTAGTAGTACAGTAGAACCTCGCTAATTCGAATTTCACAGGAAAGTCAATATACTTCGAATTATAGGAAGTTTGAAATATAGAGAGTTTGAATTATAGAGGTCAGAATGAATAAAATTCGAATTATGGAGGTCCCAGTTTTATGTGTGGGGAGTTTGAATTATAGAGGTCAAAATGATAAAGTTCGAACTACAGAGGTCCAAGTTTATTATTTAAAAGCTAAACAGAATACAATTCAAACACACATCTCTTGGACAAAATACTGTTTATATACATTACCGTACAGGACATATTGAATTACAGTATTAAAAATGACATATTAAATCAAAGAAAATGAAATTGAACATTGTTCATTCTGTATTAAAAAAGTCTGTTTATTTCGTGACTGTTTTAAGGCTCTTTTGCATTGAATATCAATACTGTTTTCAATGGTTACAATGGCTGAAAAAACATTACCACCAGTGTCACTAGATTGTTCGATAAAATTGCGAATGGTTTCTACCGCACGCCGCGCTTCCTTTATTGTAACGAAGTGAAGCTGGTCGTCTGCTCCCGTCTCGTCGTCGCCACCCAACCCATCGTCGTCTGCTTCTGCCTCGTCCCTGTCGGCCACTGCCGCCACTATCTCGTCTTCTGTCAACGTTCCGGCGACTGCTACATCGTTGTCGACTTCAACAAAGTCTTCAAATGTTGTGTCATTTACATTACAGTGAGTCATTATGGCATTCCATTCGCTCTCGATTAGATCTTCAACAGGATCTGGTGTAACTGTGACGATTTCTGGTTCAGTTTCTCCATTTACAAATCCACACGTTTTAAAACAATTAGCAATTGTTTCTTGCGTTACATTTTCCCATGATTTGTTTGCCATTCTCATCGCTTGTAGGATGTTGATTGGAACGATGGCTTTCTCTTCTTCGATATTTGATAAAATATGTCTTACAACTTCTTTCCTGTAGAGAGTCTTGAAATATTTTATTATTCCCTGGTCCAGCGGTTGAAGTTTTGACGTTGTGTTGGCAGGAAGGAACTGAACTTTGATTGCGTCAAGCTTTGGGATGTCATTATGGGCACTACAGTTGTCAATGAATAAAAGAATTTTACGTTTTTCCTTCTTCATCTGTTTGTCTAGCTTAAGCAACCATTGCCCAAAAAGGTAACTATTCATCCATGCTTTTGGATTTGCGTCATATTCAAAAGGAAATGACTTAACACCAGCAAAACATCTCGGCTTTTTGTATTTACCGATCATAAACGGCTTTAACTTTTCTGTTCCTGTCATATTACTCGCAAGCAAAAGTGTTGCTCGAACTTTACTGTTCTTACCGCCATGACATTTTTCGTTTTTGAAAGTTAAAGTTTTATCGGGAAGACATTGGTAGTACAAGGCTGTTTCATCCGCATTAAATATGTTTTTAGGATCATAGTCTTTCAACATTGTTTTTAGTTCCTCTTTCCAGTTTTTACATACATTGTCATCAACGCTTGCACTCTCTCCACACACCTTACGAAAAACAATGTCATTTCTTTGTTTGAATTTCTCCAACCAACCATTACTTGCTCGAAAATTATCATGGCCTAATGATTTGGCAAAACTTTCAGCTTTTTCTTTGAGGATTGGCCCCCCTACACTTACGTTATGGTCCCTACATTGCTTAAACCACTTTATTAAGCATTCCTCCACTTCAGGAAATTCGGATTTACGCACTCTCTTATTGTTTAAATTACCTGCCTCCATTCGTTGCCTAACTAGTTCCTCTTGTTTAAGGATCGTAGACAATGTGCTGGCGGGGATACCATACTCTTCAGCTATATCCTTTTTACGTTTTCCACCACTGTTCACTTCATCGATTATTTTAAGTTTTTCTGCCAAGGTTAAGGACTTGTACTTCTTACCACTCATTCTTGCTCACTGCACTCGCACTAACACTCATCAACTAACAATCAATTAGGCCTAACACCGCAAAATCTGACTGACTATTAAAGACGTCTACGTTGCATATAAAACTGTTGGAGACTGATGAGCTAACTGTGGGAAGATCAATAAGAGCGTCAGTTCATGTTTCAACAGGATAATTTTTTGTTGTGAATTCGAATTGCAGAGGCTTACGGTAACGCAGTTCGAATTGTAGAGGTTGACTTCGAATTGTGGAGGTAACACTTCGAATTACGGCAATAAATTCGAATTGTAGAGGCTTGAGTACGTGCAAATTCGAATTATAGAGGCTGCCTAAAGCATAAAAATCACTTCGAATTATCGGTATATTATTTTTCGAATTTTAGAAGTTTTCTGAGGGGAACAGACAAAAGTTTCTAATAATAGAGGTTTTCGAATTATCGAGGTTCGAATTAGCGAGGTTCTACTGTATGATGACTACAGCTGTTTCATGCTTTTCAAAAATAGCACATCTTCAGGTCCAGAATGTCTTGCTAATCCCTCATGTAGAGTTTGTCAAAAATATAAACAAATAAATAAATGGCACACACATACGGATATGACACACACGAAAATACATTTAATAAACTGGTCGACCAGACGCTGATTCACGAGACACGGCGCCGGTGGAAGGTAAGTCGCGACTGTCACGTGTCGGCAGCGTTGACCCCTACCCCTGTGTTATCCTTATCTCGCTCTTTTCTTGTCTGCTTACTGGTGATATGGATGGCGGTGTTATAAATAATGTTGGATTTGAATGACAATTTCTCGTTCAGGATGTTTTGTGGTTGACTTTTTGGTGCTTTATAAATTTCGAATTCTTCAACAGTGTCCATGTAATGCCCTTTGTTGCAAAAATGTAATACTTCTAAGTTATTATGTATGTTGGTGTAATTGTGGTTGGAGGATATAAGATAGTTTGCGTAGGCTGATTTTGAGTTTTTCTTCAGTATGTGTTCTTTAAACCTAGTGGAAAACGATCTTGCTGTCTGACCTATATAAAAATTAGGACAATCATCACATATCAATTTGTAAATTCCAGTTTTATTAATTTTATCAGAATCTGGTCTAGTTCTCTCAGTGATTATGTTTGAAAGTTTGTTCTTTGTTTTGAAAGATACTACGACATCTCTTTTTGCAAGTTCGTTTGTTAAGGTGTGGTTTAACACAACACCATAATCTGCACTGATGTATCTTTTGTTGCCTCGTGGTTGGTTCTTGGTTTTATTCTGTTGTTTATTAATCAGTTTATCGATTAGGGAACTGTTGTAACCATTGGCGACTGCGATGTGTTTTAAGACATTTACTTCATCGGTATAATCAGTTGGGCTCAATGGGATGGAGAGTAGGCGGTGTACAAAACTATTATAAGCAGCGATTTTATGGTTATGCGGATGGTGTGATTGTGAATGAATAGTCTGGTCCGTGGTCGTTGGTTTTCTATAGATTTTGAACTGTAATTGGCTATTGTTTCTCGTTATAGTGACATCCAGGAAGTTGATTGATTTTGTATTTTCTATTTCGAGGGTGAATTGTAGGTTCTTATGTATTCTATTTAGGTATGCGTGGAGTAAATTGAGTTGCCTGCCGTTACCATTAAATAATACAAGAGTATCATCTACATACCTGCTGTAGTGGATTATTCTGTGTTTGTGTCGGTTTGAATCAGACCAAAGATGTTTGTTTTCTATGTTATTTAAGAATAATTCTGAATACGGTGTTGTGCCAAAATATGTTTCTGTAAAAATCTCTAATACATCTACCGCTGCCAGAAAGGCCAAACAGGTTGCTGTGAAAACTTGGATTAAAAGTGAAATAAAATCTCTATACGCTAAAAAAAGCATGACCAATAAATTACTACTAGGAAAACATCTCTTACTCTTAAATAGCCTACATCCTTCCCAACAGAATGATGTATTTTTCTCAAATAGAAACTCAAATCCAAAATAAGGTACAAATCAAAAAGAAAACACAATCGAAAAAATTCGACGCTTTAGTAAAGGCACAGATAAAAATTGAAACAATCACATGCAACCATAAGTTCCATCCTAGAGTTGTCAACAAAACAAATATACAATTTTCAGACCAAGAAATGTCACTACTAAATAAAGGACTAAACTTTAACTTCCCAAACGATAGAAAAAACAGTTTGATCTCTGAATTATTAAATGCAGAAACTACCGTTAAGTGTTTAAAAAACAATATCGAACGTGATACTGCTAGAGCTATGATATCCAACAAAATCCATAAGTTAATGAACAACCCCAAACCTAGAATCAAATATTTGTCAAAATACAAATCCTTGAAACAAATTGCTCAAAGTATTAGGAACAAGTTACAACAGAATAATGCTGTTATCGCAAAAGCAGATAAGGGAATCTCCACGGTCATAATAGACAAAGGCGATTACGTCAGCAAGGTCCAGAACTTCATTGAGACCAACAATGTTGTAACTTTACACAAAGACCCAACCCCATCTTTCTCCAAAGAAATCAATCAAATAATTTTGTCATGCAAGAACCTTTTAACACCTGAACAGGTGTGAAAATAAGAAATATCAGGTGTGAAGATATAAGAAATGTTAAAGTAACTAACCCCAGAGCCCCTCAGTTAAGAGGACTGCCCAAAATTCACAAGCCCAATATTCCAATTAGACCTCTGGTAAACTTCACACCTGCTCCGACTTATAAAATCGCCAAAAAACTAGACACAATTATTAGGAATGAGATAAAATTGGAAAACAATCACCGCGTAAGAAACACAGTTGACCTAGTGAACAAACTATCAGACGCAAAGCTCAAAGACTCCTATATTTTAGCTTCATTTGACGTCGTGAATTTATTCACGAAAGTTCCCGTGGATGAAACAATAGCCTTGCTTAAAGATAATTTGGACAAAAATTCATCACTTTCAACAGAAGCTAAGCATGAACTTATACCTCTAACTCAAACCGTTCTAAAACAAAATTATTTTGAATTTGAAAACAAGTTTTACATCCAAAATGAAGGACTGACCATGGGATCACCTCTTTCGAGCATTCCATCAGAATTATTCTTAAATAACGTAGAAAACAAACATCTTTGGTCTGATTCAAACCGACACAAACACAGAATAATCCACTACAGCAGGTATGTAGATGATACTCTTGTATTATTTAATGGTAACGGCAGGCAACTCAATTTACTCCACGCATACCTAAATAGAATACATAAGAACCTACAATTCACCCTCGAAATAGAAAATACAAAATCAATCAACTTCCTGGATGTCACTATAACGAGAAACAATAGCCAATTACAGTTCAAAATCTATAGAAAACCAACGACCACGGACCAGACTATTCATTCACAATCACACCATCCGCATAACCATAAAATCGCTGCTTATAATAGTTTTGTACACCGCCTACTCTCCATCCCATTGAGCCCAACTGATTATACCGATGAAGTAAATGTCTTAAAACACATCGCAGTCGCCAATGGTTACAACAGTTCCCTAATCGATAAACTGATTAATAAACAACAGAATAAAACCAAGAACCAACCACGAGGCAACAAAAGATACATCAGTGCAGATTATGGTGTTGTGTTAAACCACACCTTAACAAACGAACTTGCAAAAAGAGATGTCGTAGTATCTTTCAAAACAAAGAACAAACTTTCAAACATAATCACTGAGAGAACTAGACCAGATTCTGATAAAATTAATAAAACTGGAAATTACAAATTGATATGTGATGATTGTCCTAATTTTTATATAGGTCAGACAGCAAGATCGTTTTCCACTAGGTTTAAAGAACACATACCGAAGAAAAACTCAAAATCAGCCTACGCAAACCATCTTATATCCTCCAACCACAATTACACCATCATACATAATAACTTAGAAGTATTACATTTTTGCAACAAAGGGCATTACATGGACACTGTTGAAGAATTCGAAATTTATAAAGCACCAAAAAGTCAACCACAAAACATCCTGAACGAGAAATTGTCATTCAAATCCAACATTATTTATAACACCGCCATCCATATCACCAGTAAGCAGACAAGAAAAGAGCGAGATAAGGATAACACAGGGGTAGGGGTCAACGCTGCCGACACGTGACAGTCGCGACTTACCTTCCACCGGCGCCGTGTCTTGTGAATCAGCGTCTGGTCGACCAGTTTATTAAATGTATTTTCGTGTGTGTCATATCCGTATGTGTGTCCCGTTTATTTATTTGTTTATATTTTTGACGAACTCTACATGAGGGATTAGCAAGACATTCTGGACCTGAAGATGTGCTGTTTTTGAAAAGCATGAAACAGCTGTAGTCATCATACTACTAAACTGATCGTTTTGACAGAAAACAGGTAATTTAAACCTATATTAGTTAATAATTAGGGTTGCTGGAATTAGGCTGATGCACCATTGACTCCAGGGCTAAATACAATAGCCATTCCATTTATGTGAACCAAATATAGGTCTACCATTGAGTTTGGATACTGCCATTATTAGACTTTTCATTTACGTGAAATAGACACCATTGACTTAGGATACTGCAAGTAGACAATTACGGTGATTTACGTGAACCAAATATACCATTGACATTGGATACTGCAAGTATATATATCTCATTTACGAGAAAAAGGTGTAGCATTGACTTGAGAAAAGTATTGGATTAATTCGCTAGCTCCGATCAATATTGCAAGCAGACAACTACATTGTACACCTAGTGTAAATTTCTTTTTATGACTTGGCCAGTATTAACAAAAATTTTATAACACTTTTAAACATATTATTTAACTTGTTTTGGTGCTAATTCAAGCCTATGTATATTTTGCCCAATAGGTATACTATTACTTGAGGATTGTCTTTAAGTTTTCTCTTGTATTTTATAGGAAAGGTCAAGGTGACGGGTGTTGTCACGAAAGTAAATCTCCTGATGATCCTCTTTTCAAAAAGCTCGCCTTGGTATATGCGGATTTGAATCCTGAAATGCATGCTGGCAATGCCTGCAAACCAGATAACTTTAGTCAAGGGATTACCAACGGGGCATTTTGGTATGAAGTGAAAGGTAAATATTTGAGAATAGTTCAGAACTTTATTGTAATAATTTTGGATTTGTTCCTAAGAAATTATGGTTAGTAGAAGTCATTTTTGGTTGAGAATCAGCCTTTGTTCTTAATGTCTAACTAAGCTCATGATGACAGTTGTGTAAACACCCACACATATTATATGTCACAAGTGTTTAAAACACACAGACTTGTCACTCTTTGTTGATCTGATAACAGTTGGACTCCTGTTATCTTCACACAAATTGGATAGTTCGTTTGTCTAAACATTTTATATTACTGTGTTGAATAAAGTAGTAAAAAATGTGAAATGTTTGACAATAGAATACAGATGAATTGAAGATTGTGATGAATTGCAAATTACAACAGAGTTCCTTATATCCAACCACCTCCGGACCTAGTTTAGACTAAAGCCTATATAATGGTTTGGCGGAACACACTGATCAACTATGAAAAAGACAGTTCAACCCTATTTAACATTATAGAATTTAATAATTTTCTTTCTAGGTGGCATTTATATGAAAATACAGTAAAAACTATTTTAGTAAAGCTACGAGACCCTATCGATGTTTTCAAATCCTTTAGGCATTCTAGTAAGTGACTCTAACGAACCAGAGCACTAGTGTACATGGTAATGGAGGGTTGATTATTTCCCCAGCTGTTAGGCATTCAAGTTTAAAACCTACCGTTTTTTGATGGATTTTGTTCATTTAATGGTACTATTTATCGTATCAATGTTTTAATTTCACGCAATAAATTCTGATTAACTGAAGCAGATTAATGTGAGTTATGTTAAATATTTTTATGAATTTGGATAGAAAACTGAAATAAATATTTCATGTTAGGTGGAATGCAAGATTTTAATTACGTAAGAGGAAACTGCATGGAAGTAACATTCGAGCTAAGTTGTTGTAAATTTCCGAATGCAACAGATCTCCCTACCTATTGGCACCGCAACAAGGAATCGTTGATTTCATTCATCGAGGCAGCACGTTGGGGAGTAAAAGGTAAGCTTAAAGATAAAGATAAAAATTAGAATTGTTATGCTACATTATTATACCTACGGCAAATTTTTTAAGTAGCCGTTACAGTTCTTAGAATTGAAAAGTTTCTCACAACAGTATTGTTTACTTTTATAACAGCATAGTTTTACTCATAACAACACGGGTTACGTACCAATGAGGTTCAAGGATTGAGAGAGAAGAAGTAAAATTGTAATGATTCGAACTTCAACTAATCAGCTGTGCGGGCCATTTTAATTGTTGAGTGGTGTAATTAGTGTTTGGTACAATGTTTCGTTGCATCACTGTCAGTAACAATGAGAGGTTATAAACGAAAACATAACCTCTCTTAGAAGTTATGAGTAGTGAGTTTCAGTAATTAAAACACTGACGTAGCTAAAGTAGTGTACGCAACTCGCGTAAATAGTGTTAACAACACTCGTAGAAGTTTTTAAGGCACATTTTTCTCACTTAACTTTTCTTTTCGTGTCATTAACGCTATCTTAACACAATCATTGTGTAAACTACTATTCTTTGCTCTATTTAAACACACTTGTATTATCTATCTTTATTCAAACCTGTGCCTTGACCCATTCTTTCACTGCATCTTTCAGTTCATCATGACAGGGTCCAGTCACTTTGTCATATGCTAGAAGAAATTGTAGTCACTAAGAGCTAAATCTGGGCTGTAAGACAGATGGTGGAATATGTCCTAATGAAACTTTCCCAGGTAGTCTTTAGTTATCAAAGTTGTGCAAGGTCACATCACAGAGTTAGTTTTGTATTGCCCATTTTACTGATGAACCCATCATATTAAGCTGCTCCTTCGCTAATCATGTTTAGTCTATTATCCACCGAAATTCTGATGGATGTGTGGCCGAAACATTTTTTACAATTTAAGCTTATAACAGCTTGTATGTTAACATTTGGCGGAAATCATTATGGTGTCACACATTTTGAAACGCTGTAAAACTTTTGGTTTACAAAATAAAATATTGCTTGATTTTCTCTTTATATCAGGGCTGGGCACCAACTGACCTGTAAGAATGTACAAGAACGGCCGTACTATCCTAACTACTGACGCGCAGTAAACAGAGACTACTTTCCTAATTGGCCTCTTATAATGGATTCATGACTCATGATTCTTCATACATTAAATCCAACCCTATTCAACAAGTGTTTTGCTCTTTTTATTAGACCTACTATACACTACTGTATTTATACAGTCCTTTTTTAATTGATAATTACTGTAATGAATGTTTTAAGGTTATGTTACGTTTAATGAAGAATTCATTCCACACGCCGAGGTTCAAGTTAAAGGGATCGACCATAATGTTACCTCTAACCATGATGGGGGGTATTGGAGACTGCTGATGCCTGGGGATTACGAAATCCGTGCTGCAGCCAAAGGGTAAGCCTAATCAAATCAAATCAGAAATTAACCATACTGTTTATTTTTAACTTAGAATGCAATAGATAAGTCAGAGTTTCGGAATTGCCATTTTAATATTGTTATTTAAACACAACATAGGTACCTATTATCACTGTAACGCTCCTTTCACACTATACGTTTTCGCTCGTACGAGTGTTAATCGTGCGGGCAGACGGTCGCGGGTCTGTTGCTTTCACACTATACGATTTGTAATCGTACGAGTAATAAATCGAAACCCCTTACTCCACCAGTACAGAGTGCATTGATACTTCAGTGGAAAGTTTTGTGGAGTATGAATCGGGAGCAAATTATTGCTGCGCTAATTATTTACAGACGCAGGAAAAGAAATAAACGAGGCCGTCTGCACTGGGTACATCCCATAAATGTAAAACGTGAGGAAGTGGGTGTGTTTAATACATTATTCGAAGATTTGAGGAACGATGAAGCCAAATTTTTTTTAACTATTTTCGTATGTCGAAAGAATCGTTCGACGAATTGCAAAATCTGGGTTCAATGCGAAGCACACTTCTTCCCAGGCTTTTCTTGTAGCAATTCTATCTTTGTAAGCGTCCAATGTTTTGTCCCATAAAACAACTTTTGATTCAACAAGTGAAATCAAAACTTCAGGGTCCTTTGCATCCATTTGAACTATATTAAGACAACTGAATAATACTATACAGTGCGCACAGGTAATTAAACTCAATAACCAAACAATTAAACTGAAAAACTAAATAAAAACTATATAGCAAAAACGCTGCAAACTGCACTCGGGGAGGGCTCCCGCACGACTAACAACCGTGTAGTGTGAAAAGGGCCATATGGTCACATGGTCCACTAGCAGTAGACACGACTATTACTCGTGCGGGAGTCGGACACCAACCGTGTGCACCTACGGTCGCTACGCGGGTGAAAATCGTACACGGTTTGTAATCGTATAATGTGAAAGGGGCCATAAGCTCCAATGCGATACAACAAATACGACTAATAACCGTGCGAGCGAAAACGTATAGTGTGAAAGGAGCGTAACACTGTAAAAACCCGTGCTCGAATTGTAAATAAATTCAAGAAAAAAATAGTAGACTAATTAAGTGTGGAAATAACAAAACCATAAATGGAGACAAATTATTAGCAATAGCCCCTTATAAAGCTTAGTTTTTAACCCTTTGTCATTCTGTACAGTAGACTCCCTCTAGTTCGGCCACCTCGGGACCGGACCACTGGCCGAACTACAAAACGGCCGGACTAACCGGATTTAGTGCATTTTACATAACCAAAATACAAATTATAGTATTGCGCAATCGTGATATGTTAAGTCAATAACCTTGGTTCAGTAAAAAAAAACTGAAACGTTTAAAATCACGCTTACTCAATCAAAACAAAAATTACACAACACTGTACGTACAGCAATAAATCACGTAAAGAACAGAACAATAGAAAGTCTAGTACTGCAAGCTACCGTAGTTAGTATAGGCTACTACTAAATGTTGTTTCAGAACATAAGAATGTTGATAAAAACATTAGACAGTTCATAAAACAGCATAAAATTATAGTACTTATTCTTAAAGATAATAAGTACAGTCGTAAAATATGATAAAGATAATAATGGATGACGTAAAACACCGCTTATTCTTTCTTCTTTGTTCTTCTATTCTTTCTTTGCCTCTTTGGTTTCTCTTCATCCACACATTCAACAAGTTGCCATAGTTACTAATCACCCAATCACAAACTGTTGTGAGATAGCAAGCAAGTGCACAGCAGAAATCAGTTTGTGTGAGCAGATGACTGTCAGTGCAAGGGGATAGCTTGACCTTGAAGCTAACGATGGCTATTTCTTTGTTTTGCTTTAATTTATTTTTGTCAAATAAACCGTGGTGTTTCAAAAACAATAATGGGGGAACCTACTGCATAAAAAAGTGGTCCGAAATATTTAATTATACACTGCATTTCAACATATTAGACCGAAGAAAAATTATTTATAAAAAATGTTCTTGGTATTTTTGAGGTTATATAACATAGTTTTAAATATGTATTATCTGTAATATGCAACAATTCACCCATAGAAGCACCCGTAAACTAAACTGACATGAATTGTTTACTTCTATGGCCGGAAACTAAACATTCAAGTTCAATCCTGTCGAAGGTCATTCGCCCGTGACATATGACTTGTCCCCCTGAGACCGGGCCGGACCATCCGGCGGCCGATCCAACCGAAGCCGAACTAGAGGGAGTCTACTGTACTTTGATGGAACCATCCCATTATTCTGAGTAATTTTATTTCAGAGTACTTTTAATCCCAAGTAATTATAATTTCAAGCTCTCATAATCCATACATCCACATTTCAAACAACCAGTTTTTATAGATTAACTAAACTGAGTTTCCATGAATCCGAGTGAATCAGAGACAGTCTGTGCTACAAGCGATGGGCCACCCACCTTGTTATATTGCCAAGGTCTATATTGGCTAACCACAGTGCCGCCTTGTGCTGTCTGTGTGTGTGTGTGTGTGTGTGTGTGTGTGAGATGTTTTTAGAAAGGACTGTATAACTCAAAATTCCTTCATCCAGAAATATTTCAGGGTGTCCGGGACCGGAAAAATCGGGAATTATACGGGAATATTATGAGGCCAGGAATGCGGGATAATTAATTTGTGTAAAAAGCAAAATCACCATGTTACGAAGACGACAGGAGGCTACGAACGCCATTTTCTCGAAGCCTTCCACCAGAACAGGACCAGGATTCGGGCTACTACATTAGAGCTCAGTTTCCGAACGACTATGCGACGTGTGAATACAACAACTCTAAACACTAGTGGTCTAGTCTAATGTCTCGGATGTCTCCTACGCTCTTTTAGATTGACAACTCAGAAAAGCAATTTTGTTTTTCAGTTCTTATTGTTTATTGATGTCCAATACTTCTGGGATTTAGAGGTGATTTTAAATATTTTAGATGTTAATAACCAACACAATAATGTATGATTTGTATTTTGTCAAGGTATCTATACTTATTTTTATATAAGTTGGAAGTGACAAAACCTCAAAAGCGATTTAGACGTACATACTCTTTACATAATTTCACCGTTTCATCCGTTGAAAAAAAATGTATCTATTCTCAATTAATTAATCAATTTTGTAGGTCTAGTGTATGAATGTAATGTAATAATTGTTCATGAATCCTAGACTCTATGAAGTATAAAGGTGTTTTTGCCGGTGGTGTGATAACCGACGGAAGGTCTTATATCGCTTGAACTGTAGCGTTTGTCCTAACTGTGCTCGTTCAATATGAACCGTATGTCCAATATCAGAAGGGTGAATATCGCATGTTACTTGCTCTGACAAGATAGCGAAAGAGAATGAGAGAATATGTTTTGTTTTCAGACTAGGACGTCATTAGAGCCTACTGTAGGTAAATTATTTTACAAAACACAAAAATGTTGGTTATTGTTTACAGCAAAAATGAAACGAATTTGAGTTCCCCTACTTCCTTAGTGTAGACCACCTTAGTAATAATTGCATGACTCGTGTGATTCCTACATTTTATGTGCAATATTAATTCACTTAATTTAAGTATTCTTAATGATTTTAATCAATTAGGCATACTCTTAAAACCCCACCAATCTTAAATTCACTTAGTATAAAAATTCCGACTAAAGTAAATACCCCCGCCGCAGCAAACCTGCAGACTAAGCGAATTTCCATTTCACTGATTTGATTTACACTGAAATGTCTACTTAAAAATATAACATTTATTCCCTATTTAAATAGAATTAGTTTAACAAGTACTTAGGTTTGCTGCATCAGGGAGGGTAAAACTGTTTTTTTTTTTTTTTGTAAGATGTTAATAGTTAGTAAGAAATAAAAACATTTTCCAAATTTGATCAAAATATGTTCATAAACAAGCAAACTACAACAGTTTACTTATTCTCCATAAGAATAACATGGGAATTTTAAATTTACAATTTTTTGGAATTTTCTCCGTAACCATTAGGCGCATAATAACACTTCAATATACTAAATTATTTGTTTTTTAAGCACTACAAAATGGTTTGGAAAGAAATTGCGAAATTTTATTTTTTTTTTGGGTCAAAAATGGGAAAAACCTATTTTTACCCCATAAAACCCCCCGTTCCCATGGTCCGATCATGCTGGATCACGAACTCGTTCGAATAAACGTAGGTTTACACGTTTGTACCAAATTTCATCAAAATCGGATCATTTTTGCTCGAGTTATCGTGCTAACGGACACAGATATATATATATAAATATATATATATATATGAATTTGAACGAATGGTGTTTTTGGCCTCTAGGGACCTCAAAACAAACAAAAAAAAATCGGTCCCGCGTCCAGGTCTTACCATGAGTACTACGGTAATAGCTTATTCCCTATATGGGAAATTCGCTAATATTCCCTATATGGGAAATTCGCTAAAACTGTGCGACGATACTTTCTGCACTGGAAAAAAAAATATTAAAAGTGCAGTCGTCGCAACCGTTTGCCGGGGATAGCTCAGCCTACGATGGCTGGGTAAAGTTCCAGGGTCTGCGATAAGGTCAGGGAAACCACTAGGCCAAAAGCCGGGTCTAACCGGTATAGGACTGGCTCATACACGGGCACTGTGAACAAGTCAAAAACAAGTCACCAAAACAAACGTGCAATAATCACTACCAGGCCTACGCCGATTCTCCACTCTCCTAGGGGGTCGTTGCTGACTACGCAACTCGGGCTTCGTCCTAACTATCCAATAGTTAAGCCCAGAGTGCCTAAAACACGGTGAGTTACACGACGACTTGCTAATAAAAACCACAACGCGTGTTATCACCAGGCGGGGTCTACTAGGCCACTATAATCCAATACACAACTCTAATGCCCAAGCTAAGAATCAAACAGTTCACTCAATAAAAATACCAGATAACAATACAAGTGCACTATAGGTAGAGTGACTACAACACCAGTAGCTGGTCTCAATAAATACCAAGCCA